TACTAAAGAACTGACGATGCTTTTAAATAAAGAATATAGTAAATAATAATAGAATAAATAAAGTAAATTAATTACTTACATTACATTAAATTTGATATATTCATTAATATCGATCTTCCAAATTTTATGACACGGTGACTGGAAGCTCACCTCTCGAGTGCAAAGGGATAATAATCCTTGGAATTATAGCACCTACTGTACTTCCGATTATCGTGTTATATAAATTATTTCTGACGCCAATTCCATGCCAAAAATATTTATATCTAGATAATACTATCTTTCATAGCGTTCCAATTAAAACGATATTCTAAAAATCTATCTTATCCTTGGTAGCAACGTACTACTGTAGAATAGTGGGTTAAAAAATTCCACGAACATTACGTTTTAAAGATTTGAGCCTCGTAATACCGTGCAGAATATTAAGGACTTGCTTAGATGCTCCGCAAGCATTGCACCTATAATCGGAAATTCGTCTCCGTTGGATGTTATTTCACGGCTGATACACAGCGAGACATCAGGTTAACAAGTTTCTGTAGAAGCCACGAGTAGAAATTGTTGCCTGTCGGTGCATCTTGGATGAAAAACCGATCGCAATGTAATAAGAATAAAAAGATACCTTTGCTCATCCCAAGAATATTCGCTTCTTACAAGCATCCTCACTTTGCTACGAAATCCTCCGGAGGATTTTCTCTTATAGTAAAGCTCGCCTTCCTCCGGTCAATCCTCATCTTTTCGCATACGATCCCAAGGATTTTTCAATCGAGTCAAAGTACTCAGGGGAAAGACAAAACTGATGCACTTTGGCTAAAGGGTCTCTCGCTCGTCGGTATCCTTCCCAGATCGTAGCGAGAACATACTAACGTCTTAGAAATCACTCAGTGGCACGGTGAATACAGGGCGTTCGCTGGTAGCTGAAAGCAGTACCAGCATCTACACATTGCTAAACATCGCAACAGGGGTCCTGTGTACTCGCACTATAATCTCACGATTAGTCTGATTATCTGCAACGGCTACATTCCCATCTACGTACGAGCAATAAAGTGTCAAAGTTTTCTGCTTAGGTGGTAATGCCTTTGATGCCATTACCGAGCGAGTCACCCTGTATAACCATGTACTCTCCGTTATTGCGATAACGTAGCTCGCTAATGCTACAAAGGATAAAAGAGGAAGAGAGAGAAAGAAGAAGTGGAGTGAAGACGGAGATCGTGACATTGATTTGTTATCGATCAATTACATTAAATTGCATACCAGTGTATACTCGTCGAAAACTTCCTAATAGCTAAAACAGAAATCAGCAACTTCCTGTTATAATCCTTTCTTAACACTAGATTTACGGAACCCGTTAATTTGACGGAAGGGTTGCTCAAATTATACGATGGTAATAGATTTAGGCAAATTATATTAAGACTGTTAATATAATATATAATTGTTTTCAAATTAAACTAATAATTAAAAAAAGAAGGTACGTGGTTTCCTTTACCTGTCAATTTGACAGGTGTCCTTAGAAATAGTTTAGGTGTCCGTAAACCTAGTGTTAACTCAATTTTCGTTCAATTTTTACAATTGTAGTTCTACGAGTAGTTCAAATGCTCCGGTCATCAATGACCACTGTAACGTCATAGGAGAAACCGTGGCCTCTCATATATGACCAACGTGATAGTCAAAGTGTCAACCCTTTGAGTGTCACAGATCTTTGCTGTCTCCCTGTCCAAAAGTGCCAAAAAGAGCCTTTGTGCTTGATTTATTCTCCATTTAAAAATACCAAGGAGCGCTATTGGGCTGTTTTCTACCATCCGTGACAAGTTGTAATTCTTTCAATTCAGTGTTGTTTTGATATCCTTTCGAGCATAAGTAGTTATATCCGTTGTTTATAAGAATAAAAAGTTGTGCACCTACAAAGCGTAATATTACTCTAATTTTATTTTAATTTACATAGAACGGAACGGTATCCGCAAAGTCGCGCATTGACAGAAACTAGACATGTCGCGATTGTAGGCTTGACAGGCGAGAGAGCTGACACTTTTCGAGCGAAACAGGAGAAGCGCAAAATCGCCGCTTGGCATTGGAACGATTGAAATATATTTCAGTATAGTATAATTATGATTTCTACCGTGAAATTGTTTTATCCAAAATTCATTAGAATTAGAAGATCATTCTTTTACGTAATCCTATCTGTACAAGGAACTTAAAAGAAAATTGCTTCTTCCGTTCATTTCAGAAATGTCAGGCTCTGCGAAAACGCAAACAGCTGCTCGGCCATCCTTCTACGACGAGGAGGACGAGACGGTTTATGGCTCGGCGGAAATCGAGAAAATGGAGAACAAACTCCTGCCCGTAGACAACACGCATAACGGCCATATGCGATATCCATCGATTGCGACCTCAGTGCCAACAGTAAGAGTGAATAAGAAGAGGGCAAAGACTGTTGCGAGTTCCAACGCGGATTGTCACTTACCTACCGATCTTCTCGTCATACCGATGCTGATCGTCGCTCATCGAAGGTATCAGTGAACGAACGGACGAACAAAGGTTTGAAAAATATGTCATGTATACATATGTATCGAGATCTTAACGGCGTTAAGAAACAGTATGACCGGTTTCGTTTCCATATTCCGAAGTGATTTGTTCTTACATCGCGGCACGAACGAAAATATTGGTCTATCTCGGCGAAACTACGAAAGGGGTTAATTTAGGAAGAGAGTACGTATGTCGGTATATAAGATTCCTGCATTGGGAGCAATTCGATAAAGAGCAAGAGGAATTTTTCTTCAAGTTGTTTCCCTAAAGAAGATCGAGCAGAACGCCTCGAACAATGAACAGTATCGATATTCGCGCGATATGTCAGGTTATAATTGCGAGAGGATTGCGAGAAAGTTCCGGAAGCTTCGATTATAGGCTTAGACACTTCTTTTGACACTTTATTTAACCCTTTGCGGTAGGAGGGGCCCGACAAGAGAGCGTCGCTGTGGACGAGAGGTATCGACGCGCGTAGTAAAGAAAATACACGGTAAAACTTTTTGATAAAATCCAAGAAAAACATATTTAGTTATGTCACGTTTATGTATGACACGTTTTATATGTATTTCCATTTTTAAGTAGCTCCTCGACTGCCAGATGTTATACTTTTGTAAGTAGCGTTGTTACTTCACGGAACACAGCTATGACGCAAATGCAAGAGAAAATGGATGATTCATGATCTATAAACTCATTAATTACCAATTTTTGTTGGGACAGCTGGAAAATAGATCGATCGATTCACTATAGTTCGTTATTCAGTTGTAAAAATCCACTGTAACAAATTTATTTGTTTAAAAAAAAGAAACGTCTTTAGTGTACGGTAATAGTGAAATTAATATCGATTAATTATCATAATATATCATAGGTCTAAAAATACGTGGGAAATGTTCGTTTCTCGTTATAAATATTTGTATTCCCTCGCATTAGAAAATCTTTGATAATTTCGTATTTCTGAAGGATTATATCTCCGCTTTAATGTGAAAAATTAAAATCATCTCGAAATCTGTTTGCAAAAGCACATTTATTCCAGCGGGCAAATTGCTTTACAGCAAGTAAGGATAATATGACCTGCTAAAGAGAGGAAAATGACAGCCTCGAGTGCCCTCGTAAATTTGATTAGCGAAATTTTCTGCATAACAATGCTAAATTTTAATAACAATCTTAAGAGCAGAATCACGACAGTATCCAAGTTATTGTTAATGAAAACGACGGTATACATAATGAACATTTACCACGAGCAAACAATGATAGTATTTTGTGTTCTTACATTATTAAGTCAGAAATTTGAAGGAGAAGAAAATCGATGTTTTCGCTAGTTTAAAGTAAAACATTATGGGTAGCAGTCGAGGATGGTCCGTGTATTTCGCTGCAATATCCTGGCAGAGAAAAAGAACAGGTGTAACAAATTGCATTAAAACGCTTACTTTATCTTGACTAGATTGTCGTGTCAGTCTTAATATATTTTCAGATAATAGTCTTTAGCTAAATAATTAAAAAACACTGGAATATATTTCCTTCTGACAATTAATTACTGTGAAATACGTTTTTCTCGAATGAGAAAATTTAGAAAATATTTTAGATTATTTAAAAATATTTATTTACACAATTTTCAATCAAAGATTATTCACAGCGAAAAATAAGGTAGCAGGAGATACTTTCCTGTATTTCTTGACAAGCAATGTCAAGAAAAATAACCTGATTACGATATGTTATGGTTATTACTAAACATAATTGTTTAACCAACGTTTCCTTGCAGAATAAATAATTCAATGGCGTACAAGAATAATTTAAATAGGCCAATGGGTACAAAAATAACCATTTTGGAATTCTCTACTTATTTGACAAAGAATTATTTTATGATTTAATTGATGCAGATAATTTATCTCATCAAGAAAATACAAATATCTTAAATTCGACACAATTACAAGTCACATGTTTCTATAAAAATTAAAAGATTGTTGGCAATTATGTCTGGAAAAAGATGAATATTCAATATCGAAGAAGCTGAGAGAAATTACTACTCTGATTAAATTCATATTCTAAAAAGGACAATTCTGAACTCTTTATGAAAAGCACATTAATAAATGCTTTACTATTTATTTTAGAATTACAAATAACTTCATTTAAATATAAAAGCGAAAGAATTAATTGTCTCTTAATTTAAACTTTCAATATATTCCATTATCGTCTCACCTATTACGCTAATTACGAAGATTCAAGTTAACTGTCTCCCCATCTGCAATAATTCAAATGCTTCTCCGGACTCAACTTAAACGTCATTATAATGTCAAACAGTGCACGAATTTTAAAAGTTAATTCTCAAGCGTGTAAAATCATGGCAAATATTCCGAATATTTATTTAGAATATTAAAGTGTACACGAAACGAGATGGCTTCGCAAAGATAATTGACAATTTTGTAAATCGATGTATAATTTCATGGTGTTACGAAAGGAAAATCTTTATCACGAATTATCTACATTAGTGAGCTCAGTGAGCGAGTACCAAGGAGAGGAGCTGAAGCTGACAAAGATCTCGAGGAACGAAATGGGGGTTTATCTCTGTATAGCCAGCAACAGCGTGCCACCGGCGGTCAGCAAACGTATTTTTATCAACGTTCATTGTGAGTAATAGTGATTACTCTGGCCGATAATTTACCGATTTCTTTCGGCACGAAGAAACGGAAACGCTGGAGTTTCACGACTACAAATCTTATCTGCAATTCTGTTTCACAGTCTCGCCTGTAATTCATGTACCTAATCAACTGGTAGGCGCTCCTCTGGGTACGGATGTGGGTCTAGAATGTTTTGTCGAGGCTTCGCCGAAATCGATTAATTACTGGGTCAAAGATAATGGTAAGATATCATCCCCCTCATTTAGCAATACTTTCTGCCAATTTGACGTAATTTCATCGAAACCTTGTCACATACAGTTACACACATTCCTTAATGCATAGATTTCGTCACTTATTCCTTAAATTTCTTTCATGAAAATATTTTTAATGCTTCTGTATTGTAACAAGGAAAATTAAGTACACGTGTATGGGGTACAAAATAATTTAATGGTTTGCGATAAAGATTGTCAAATGAGCGAAAATATCACGATAGAAAATGATACTATTTAACACAAAATGAATCTGCTTACTAATTACTAATATTTTTACATTTTTTAATTTTTTAACTTTATTTTTATTTAAATGCAATCTGGTACAATAAAATTGGGAATCTGCAAGAAAATATATTACAGGAATAATTAATCGCGTGATACTTACAGAATCGTATAATACTATTCATTGATCGCTGCAAAATAATTGATACGGACCAAAATATAATTTACGTGTAGCGAAACCTGGTAATGTGCGGTCACATTTGTCACTGATCAATGAACACAAAGGCCAGATGCATTTTACTCGGCAGTACTCCGCATTAATCAATTTAAAAGTTACCTCGACCTTCGATCAAACGTAGATCAAAAGTAAAAGACAAAAATATCGCCCTGTGAACTCTAATGTAATTGCAAATTTTATATCTTCTGTTTCCTTCCGAAATCGATACCGCCAGATGTCGAACGAAATGAAAGCTAAACAAGTAGTAGATGCTCTGTCAGGAAAATAAAGTCTTACGGAATTTAAAAGGATGTTTTCGAACAATTTTCTTCCTAATTATTGCACAGCGCTCGAGCCTGCATCTCGAAATCTAGTTTGTCTGTTTCTCCACCTGCAGTGTAGAGGAATGATAGAGTATAACAAATTGCACGAGAGCTTTTTAATTAGTCAATCAATTGAATTACGAGAGACGAATGACCATCTAAATTTCCTAAGACTAAATCATGCCAATATATAATATGGCTTGTCACCGATTCAGATATGTGTCGTTACATTGCGATGTTAATTATTTTCCATAATTATTATTTTTAATTAGTCACTTAATTGAATTACGAGAGGTGAATGATTATCGAATTTTTCTAGGTTAAATCATGCCAATATATAGTATGTCTTGTGATCGATTTAGATAGGTGTCGTTACATTGCGATGTTAATTATTTGCCATAATTATTGTTATTTTTAATTAGTCAGTCAATTGAATTACGAGAGGTGAATGATTATCGAAATTTTCTAGGTTAAATCATGCCAATATATAGTATGTCTTGTCATCGATTTAGATAGGTGTCATTACATTGCGATGTTAATTATTTGCCGTAATTATTATTATTTTTAATTAGTCAGTCAATTGAATTACGAGAGACGAATGATTATCGAAATTTTCTAGATTAAATCATGCCAATATATAATATGGCTTGTCATCGATTCAGATAAGTGTCATTACATTGCGATGCTAATTACTTGTCATAATTATTAATTTCATTTGGTAAATTATTAATTTAATTTAATTTCATCAGTTAAGATGATTAAATTACGTCACTTGACTGTATTCTTTTCTAATGACGAGGTACCAAATTTTTCATCTATTCTTTGGCAATACGAGCTACAACATTTCTGTCCTTGTCACTAAACCAGGGAAACCTGTGGATCATAGCGAACAGGTTAGGCTCACCTGGCAAATATTACACGCAATAATTCATCGATTTGTTTGATTCAGACACGGAATACGCAATTGCTTCCATACAGATGGCCTCTGTTTGACAGACACTAGCTGCTGTCACCATTTCAGCTGGACTTATACTCGAATTGCTTTTCCGGCAAATGATAAAAAAGTTCTGGAATACGGTGTTAATTAAGAAAATGAAATTGCGCGATTAAAATAAATTCCGCAGTCATATTTTATCAGTTTTTTGCCGGAAGGCAGAGCCGAAAAAGAAACACAATGCGTCCTCTCTTCTCTTTAACAGGCTTGATATTTCAGCGCAGACACTGGCAAAAAGTCGCAGACAAATGCGAGAGTGAATTACTCTCGGCTGTTCGTAAATATATTCCCCTGTGCAGTTTGTAGCCTGTAAGAGTAGACATGCTTTCGCTTCGGCGCAACTCCTACGAAGCACTTCGTCCCAATGCATTCGTATGTAATTTTCACCTCGGACGGAAAATCCGGTGCCCCCTTTTTCTCTGCCTTCGCTATGTCCGTGTATACGTGTATGAGAACGTTTCAGACTGTAATAAGGAGACTCCGGCGTGCGTTTAAGAAGTGAATTTTCGCATACTTTTATACCTAGTCCCGTATTCGCCCGCTCGTTTGCAATATTCTCCGGCGACGTCGCGTACACACGCACACACGCCTATCGTATCTTATACTTATCCCCTTGCATTGAAAACACGCTACTTCCTTTTCCAGTGAAAATTTGTTGATGCCGGTATGTTGGTTTCTCGTTGAAGTATTACTCAAATAACCGGAAGCTTCTCACGGTTTAAAATAAACGCCTGCCCATTCAGACCAATCCTTGCAATCGATATTCGAGATAAAGTGCGTAGGCCTAAATTGCACTTCCACGTTAGTTTATATACGGCACTGCGAAATTCGAAAATACATTTGCTGCAACAAATTCGACAAGATTTTATTCGACAAGGAATATATTTATTGGGTTGGCAAGAAAGTAATTTCGGTTTGCATCAGTAAATAATGTTATGCTCGTTTAGTTATTCTTTTGTCAATGTTAGAATTTTTTCCTTTTGAGATGTGGCAGTCGATACCTTTAGGTTGCTATTTCGTGAAATTCCGTGTAATTTCGTTTATAACTGTCAGTTCACGGTCGGTCTTAACATGCAGTGCAAACATAAGCATTTTCGACACATTTTACTTTTTTATTTTCATAAAGGCAAGAATGCGGCCGAGGCTCGCAAAGAGATACGAGAAGTTTATGGTGTTGATTGTTTAACAGAACGCACGTGTCAGAATTAGTTTAAAAAATTTCGTTCTGAAGATTTTTCACCGAAAGATACCCACAACGTTCTGGTCGACCTTCTGAGATTTACGCACTTGGTTAAGTTTTTTGCAGATAAGGA